CAATATCACTCACAGGCTGATAACTAAACAATATCACTCACAGGCTGATAGCTAAACAATATCACTCACAGACTGATAAATAACAATATCATTCACAAACTGAGACAGAGGCTGATGATTGAAATGAAAATGGAAACTGATGTATTCTTCTCAAGCTTCAATGGAGGTGCTTTCAGTTTAAGCTGATAAATGCAGTGGCAATGTGGAACTGAAGCATAAGAGACTAGGATGCCTCTGCTTTAGCAATAAAATTGACTTTGCAGATAGAAAAAAAAAACACTCCATTTTTTGGTCCAGTTTAAATGGCCTGATCTCTCCTAGGCTAACTAGAGATGATACAACTGCTGTGACAATTTACAAAACAGAGACTGGGGTTAAAAAGAAGTCAACCACTTTCCTGCTCCTGACTTCAGCAGAGAGAGACAGAGAGAGAGAGAAAATACTAGTGAAATGAATGAGCTTTTTCTACAATTTTCAACACTTATCTCATACCTGGACCTTATTTCACCGTATGTTTTTAACATGTTGTTTTTATGTGGAGCAAAATGGAAAGCAAAAAGTACTCTATTGCTACACGGCATATTTTAAACTCGACAAAAATTCAGCACATATTGTTTTATCCCAAACAGAAAGAAACAACTTCCTTTCTGGTTCTTAAATGCATGGTCAAGGTTTTATGTTTTTATTAGGAGGCCAAGGGTGCTCCAACACATGATGATTGATGAGTCCGTGTAAGGTTATTTTGTTTTCCTTGTGCTATGAGCTGAGCTGAAAATATATGCAAACTATTTCAGGGAGAACACTTAAGAAAATCCTGATACTGACAGCAAATAAGATTATTGTCAAAACATAATACTATTGCAAAATATAGACAATCTTCAAAACATGCATAATCTTCAAAATACACACCAGTTTAAAATAGAACACCCTCAGATTATTTACACAGGAACAAGAAGAAATGTATCAGCAGGGATATTTAAACAGTGACCTCCCTCTCAGACCTTTACATACATAAATTGTTTACAAAATCATAATGCTCTAAACACTCAAGAAACCAGTCTCATGTTCATAGATTTGTCACACAGAACTTGTCAAATTACAATGTGGCATTATTGAACCACTTTTATGAATTTCAGAAATAACAAGATAAATTTATTTCCTCATTTGCAAGTGTTAAACACGGTAAAATACTATTTCATCACCTGCCCGGGAAATGCTGGTGTTCGAAATGAAACATGGACTTCTCCGTTTCCCCAAAGCAAACACCCATTCCTAACACAGTTGGTCCAGGCTTTAACAAGACCCAGGCAAAGTTTGCTGGGTCAGTGGGAGTTCCCATGATTTAAATACCTTTGGAAGGCTACAGTTGCATCTGGGTGGCCTCTCTAAAGATGCCTGTAAATCCAACCAAAGAATTTTAGACCATAAAAAGTAGACGATTTGTATCCCCCACAGGATGATGTCTCCCAGTTTGCCCCATGACCCTCCTTCTACAAATGCATTAAAAGCATTCTGTACAATAACAAATTAATCTTCAGAGATCCAGTGGAGGGGGGGAATGAGACACCATGTCCTAAAGAATGGCCATGTTGTCAAACAGGGATCTGAGCCCAGGACTCGTGTTAAAGCCTAGCAAGGGAGAGGCAGCTGGGCACAAGAACAATCAAGTGTTTTTGGAGCTTGTTTCCCTATATCTCATGGATTAAATTTCACTTTGATCATTAATCAAAGACAAAGACCATCCATTGTATTTAGATCTGAGAACGTCTTCTGTGCTGCAAAATCTTCTCTTCAGTTATTACTTACACTGGTAGATTTGAAGAAATGTCTCTGAGAGTTTGCTGGTCATCAGTGGCTCAGGCAGATCCCTAAAATATTGTTTAAGCATGTCTGCCACATCATATGCTGACTGGCCTTCATAGCTTATGCTGTCTGTGCAAGTTTCATTCATCTGCCGCAAGGCTTGAATCCGGGACTTGACTCCAGATTTCCGAAATAGACCAACCTATTGATTAACAATATTAAAAACATGAGTTTAAAAACATTTGTAAGGAATGATCAATTATAACAGCAGAAAAAGAGCAACTTGCATTCAATCAGCAACTTTTGTCAGATCTAAGTTGACCCGTAGATCACAACAAAAGAGTCTCCTGTGTTAAATAAAATGGCAAATATCGCACGTTAACATTTTACTACTTCAGTTGCAAAAATGACATAAACCAATTCATTTTTGTCAACATCAAGAGGGCAGGGAAAATTTTGGGAAGCCTTCTTGAGCAGGCAAGGTAGAGAATTCTACAGGATGACATATATTAAGACTCCCAGCAGCAGGGAAATGTGAGCGATTAGGTCAACGATGGGAAGAAAACAAAACAGGAAACTTACACTTTGGTAGCAGAAAGCTCATTGAAATGCACATAATTAAAATGTAATTAACATGACTTGATCCTGTCTCCTTGATTTAGCGTCTCTACCTGCCCAGTGAAAGCTGGTGACTGACAGATAGACTCAGTCTCCAAAGTCCTTTTGCAGTGAATGATTGAAGGAGACATTTTCTTTGTGCTGAGCTAACATTCTTGGGGGCAAAGCCTCAAGCAGAAATGTGGGCCCAGAGGATTTGGTCCAAAATAAAGGGGCAGCACACAACTGAGGTGCAAAGGATCTATCCCTTAAACTGACAGATGTTGAGCCCCTTATAGGAGGACCCTTAAAAGGCTGCCTATCAGGAAATGCAGAGTATTTGTTGCCTGGGATTCATCATTCATTATCCTCAAGCCCTGGAGGGGATCCATTGGCTAGACTGACCTCATTTAAACCCACTGATGCCACTGAATTATCTGGGGGGAGTCTAAATCCAGCCCAATGCTTCAACCGATTAACCAGTTTACAAGAACCATGATGAACTGCCATTATGTCCCCTTTTCACAATCTCTGTAGTAAGATACTGACCTGATCCAGACACTGATTGCGGAGGTAGCGCATGGCTTGTTGAATGCTCTGAGGGAGAGGCTGCCCTGAGCGCTGGACATTTACCAGCAGAGGAACCCCAAAAACGTTACGGTCCTTGTAGTCTGGAGCCTTGATCCTCTTCATAAACTTGGGGACAGCCCTGGAAAAGAGTGAACATGGACCAGCATGAGGACCAATACATCTCACACACACTTGGAATGGAGCTCGATTGATGGGCATAGAGTTTTGTACAAATGGTCAGGAGAGGAAGAAAGAAAATACAGCACACGGACAGGTGAATCTACAAAGATGTTAGACCATTAGATGAGGATATTGGCAGTTTAATGAAGTAGGCAGTGCATTCTTGGACTGCAATTCCAAACATTTTGCATTGTATTTAAGTTGCCAGCTGGAAGGACTTCAGTGGAGACAAGGCACTATGACCACAATGAAGCAGGCAGTGAGGAGCAGTGTCAATACATATTTTTAAGAATCTGGCTCTTTTACAAGAACATGATAAGTATTAGATACAGCCTGAAATCACATTTTAGTGAAAATTATTTACTGTGGAAACATTAACATAGTTCAATAACCTATTAACATTCTATGTGAGCTTTCACAGTGAAGCATGGTCTTCAACCAATAATTAATAATACTTTCTGAAGGGGTAGTCATTATTAATAAGGTATTTTTGCCTAAATATTGCCAGGATGAGGGGATGCAAACAATATGGTTATTTGCCAGAAGCAAATCATTCTTATTCTCATGTCACTTTCATGTCTAATTTGGGAACAGGGTATGACAGCAGGAATGACAAAAGAACAGGATGAAGTTGAGAACAGTTATGTCTTAGTTTGATGTAAAGTTCAGACAGATTTGTGCTGTGTGGGGCAGATACTGAGTGTGATGGCACTCACTGAGTGGTATGTGAAATGAAAAACTGGGCAGGTTCTACAGCAGGCAGTCAACTCCCAACTGCCAGTTTGTATGCTCTAGCAATTGTTAAAATCTACCCAAACGTTTAGAGTTAATCAAGCAGAGTAGCTGTTTAAGTACTTTTATTGCTCTAATATCAACGTTCACCTCATAATCTTACAGCACAAGCTGTAATTAAACATGAATTGGTCTGGTGATACAGAAACTTCCCTGAACCTATCAGCAGATTAAGGGTTAATTGTAATTTTTCATCTGCTGTTTGAAATAGCCTGGCACATGTTCCCTTCATTATGCCAGTGCCAAGACCTCTCTTTGGCATCCTCTATGAAGTACCAATATCCGCGTTGATTCTCTAATTGTCAGTAATCCAATCTGATATTGATTTTTTTTAAAATTCTGAAACATCAAACAAACTCCAGGGCCTGTTGGCCACACTACTGACATGATCTACTGTCAATGATAACATTCAGCTCTGGGCAAAAAACAAAAATGATCTCTAGTTGATTTGTAACTAAGGCAAAATGAAATCTAATGTTCCACAGCACTAACTGATGCCACTTCTTGTTGTCCTGGGCTGAACAACCATATTGATAATGAGGCTTTTGTGTAACCAGAGCCTGGTTCTATCAAGCCCTGAGGCAGCTAGAATGCCCACTATCATTTACGAAGGTATGGGATTGCTGTGAAAGCTCAGATACTGCCAGTGGGAAACACAGTTTGATGAGTAACTCTGGAGAAATCAAGTAAACATCCACAGCTTATGCTTGTCATGTGCTTCTTGAAATGGCAAGTGCAACAAAAATACCCCATGAATTCAGGATGGATTGCTGCATTTAACTTAATTATTAAATCATGTGTGGTCTAAAAAAGAAACATACTGGATATTGTTCTGTTTGATATACAAAAGTGCTACTGTTTCGGGATCGAGGAAGGATGGAGCCATACTTGAAGTCATAAACATTTCTTAGAATAGATTAGACAATGGGAGTATTATTGGACATTATGAAAAAACGTAATATCATTTTTAAAGGAATTGGAAAGAAAGTTACCACTTTGAGTAATGGTTCACAGAAAACTGACCAAGAAATTCACAGTAATGAAATTGCTGAAAGTAACGATTCTTAAAGGGGTCATGTACAACAATGAGGCGGGTGAGAGGGGGAATGGGGGCAAAAATAAAGAAGTGGAATTGAAAGCAGCATGTTCCCAATTTTTGTTTTGATATTGCTGTTTGCCTATTCTAAATCCTAGCTTTGTCCCAGGTAACATCCGCCATGTTGCAAACAACTGTGCCTTGGAAACAAGTGAAATTGAGTGTAAACATTACAGCCTGACAGACTGTTCATCAGTCTGTGTTCTACATAAGGTTTATTTTTGTATCTTCACTGTCTCTCCTTAGTGAATAATGTGAATACTGGAATGATTCACAAGTTGAGTAGCAACCCGATAGCCCATTCTTCCAGTGACCAAATGCAAGGCAAAACACATGATCTGGTGCAAGATTCCTGGAGGTCCCATAAATTTTCACCAAGTTAAAATTGAAAAGCTAGCCCCAAATCTCAGATACCAATTGCAACAAGGACATGACAAACTATAACCTCTTCTGATCCTGATCACGAAACGTAGCATTAGATGTAACGTTAGAATGGTGTAGATATAATTAGTTTATTGTGGAAAGAAATTTGATATTTGTACACTAGACTATTACATATTAGACCGGTGTTTACCATCAATAATAATAGTTACATATTATCTGCCTTATTTTTTAAACTAACAGGATCTATAAATGTTTGTTGGCAATATTTGGTACTGGCACAATACCTTTCCTTTTCAACTCTCTGTTTATAAGGTGAGATGTCACCGACACATGCATTCCAAAGGCACTTTACAGTTCACACTTTGATAACTAGCAAATGACAATGGTTTATCACAAAGATGTCGATAAACGTTATTCATTTCTGGTCATTTTGTTATGTCCGAGTACCTACCAGTTAAAACCATGCTTATTAGAAGGTGAATATTTCTCCATGAGGGCGGTGAGCTTCAGGAGAGAGAATTTCTGCAGCAGGTTCATCTGAGCCACAGATTGGCTGTTGATTTGCAGGGATGCTGAATTTAAGCTTGGTCTATGTGAGATCTGGAAACTGCCCCAGCGAAATCTCTGTCGTCTATTTAAATAAATGATAATAATTAGTAAGTCAAGAGTATCAGTATTTTTTGGTAGGAGTTTAGCATGTATGATCTTTTATTTAATTACTCCAACAGGATTAAGAGAATTATCACATAATGCATGAAACTTGAAACAATTAAAGTGTGTTTAGATATTCTTTCTGAATTAAAACATCAGTAAAATCTGTTTTAAAGTTCAGTAGTTGTACCTGGTATTGCAAAAAGCAAAGTAAATTATTACAAGATTTCTTTAGTGGTAGTGATGTGAGACTAAACCCATACAATATAATCATACCTATTTTTAACATGGTTTTAAAATTATGTATTAAAATTTTGAGTTAATCACTTTATCTATATTGAATCCCAGCTGCAGAACTAAAATTTATTTTTTAGCATCTACTTAAATATTCTAAGTATTCTTGATATTCTAATACAGATCTGTACAATACTTACGATAATCAAAGGAAATGGATAGCACCAGATGACTATCTAGACAGTTTCAAAGTGACATGTGACACACATACATATCGCCTCAGAACTCCTCATTTCTGTTTTCCAAAAAAACACTATGCAGCTCTGCTTTGAACTCATTTTTTATTCCAAACATTCATACCCACCCTGTAAAGTTAAGGGAAAACTTCCTTATCACTCTTTGCCATGAGATTCCATTCTAAAGCTTTCACTGAGGTGTTCCATCAGTACCTTGACCTCCTTTTGTTGCGTACTGTTCATGTATTATGTTACTGTTCATTACATATATTTACTGGTTAATCTGCTTCTGCAGCCTCATCACATTGTCTCTGTCACCCTTCCCACCATTGACATCCACCCCGTGTGTCTTCCCAGTCCTGATGACAATAGAACATCATTCTTGCTGGAGATAACACTACAAGTATAAAACCTAATCTGATGCGTGTAATAGAGAAAACTTCTGCATGAGTGTAGCAGTTATGTTACTAGACTAATAATTCACAGAACCTTGCTGCAAATCCCACAATTGCAGTTTGAAACTTGTTTATACTAATCCGGAAATATCAGTATAAAAAGTGATCATAAAGTTACTGGCTTGTTCTTGGTAATCCAACAGGTTCACTAATGTCCTTTAGGAAAGGAACATGCCATCCTCAATCAGATATATTTATATGTTATTCTAGTCCAATCAGAACTTTATTGTTTTATCTACCCTCTGAAATGTCTTAACATGTCTCTCAATTGTAGCAAACTGCTACAAAGATTTTATTTTGATTAGGGATGGGAAATGAATACCATCTCATGAATCAATTTAAAAGAAAGTTGGCAGTACAAGATTGTAAGGGCCAGGGAATATCAGGTGGGAGCAAAAGTGGAACACAATAGGGAAATGGTAAAGAGTGATACATAGAAACATGGGAACAGGACTAGGCCATTCAGCCCTGCCAGCCTGTTCTAACTTTCAATGAGATCATGGCTGATTGGTGGCCTAACTCCATGTGCATGCCTTTGACCCATATCCCTTAATGCCTTTGCTTATCATAAAAAAAATCTCAGTTTAAAATTAACAAAATATCTAGTGTCCACTGCCATTTGCGGAAGACAGTTCCGAACATCTAATATCCTTTCCGTGTAGAAACGCTCCCTAACATCTCTCCTGAACAGGCTGGCCCTAATTCTCAGACTCTACCTCCTAGTTCTAGAATTCTCAACCAGTGGAAATGGTTTATCTTGACCTACCCTGGCCTTTTTTGTTAATATGTTGAAGACTTTGATCAAATCATCCCTTAATCTTTTAAATACAGAATATAAGTTTGTTTACAAGCATTAGAGATTGACTGCTGTTAAATACATGGGATGATGATAGGACTGAGAAGAATAGGAAATTCAAGAGTGAATGGTTAATATGATCTTTGGTTTCATATTTTTCAGGGTCATTGGTGAGAGGAGTTGGAAGCCAGGATTTTCCCTAGTCTAAGGAAACTGGATTTTACAGATTGGTGTAACAAACTTGGCAGACTACCACTAAAACCATAAGTTGAAAAATAAAACAATGTTCAGCTTTTATGTTAATTATACAAATATTTACTGAGAAAACACTATTCAGTATTCAGCAAATTAAAGGATTCTGCAACTGAGAACAAAGGCTGATTTCTAAGTATTGAGGTACCTGGACACAATCAAAGAGTAGCACATGTAAAGTAGGTTTCTTTCATTTGCCAAAAGGAAAGCTATACTTTGTCTATGCATGCTCCAATGTTAAATGATCTTATATTATTCAAAGTAATTAATTTCCTGTGGCATTGTAAGTACAAGTGATTTTACTGACCTGTTAGATCTTGTCAGTGATGCACCAACACCCGAGTCCCTCCTTTCGCGGATTACTGATTGATCCTCTGTCTCAGTGATGGAGTTCCCAGTACTGTCAATATCACTTGGGGAGACCCTTCCATTTTCAATGTCCAGGTGTATTTGTTTGGGGGAAGATGGGCAGGGAGAAATGGAATCCATTGCTGAATCTGAATCTCCCTCATCAGAGAGCTTTTCTGACCACTGGTTTACAATCCTTTGTAGTCCATTGACATGGTGTAGAATGTCATCCAGTTCTGGGAAAATGTCCTCCTCATTGCCTAGATCTGCCAGGTCACCGGTGCTGGAATAAAGATGGGACCCAGGCACATTGTCATAGATACTAAGGCAGCTGCCTGCAGAGCTGCACGAGTTTCGTCTCCGTCCGAAACTAGACTCCTTTGAGCTGTCAGCACTGTTCTCTCGAGTCAGGCTACAGTGTCTATGACCATGAAGACTTCCATTTCTCCAGTTCACAGAAGTGCTGTCTGGAGGGGAAGTGTTGCCATTTGAAAGTGCTTTTGGAAAGGTGCCTGGCTTGTGATCCTCTGGTATATAGAAAATGATGTCCTCTTCTACAGCCTTCTGATTCTTTAAGTTTTGTTGTCTGGTGTCATTCAGCATTGATTGACTGAAAGGGTCAAAGCCTTCTAAATACATTCCACTTCGCTTATTGCAAGTGCTATGGCTACGAGTTCTGGTGATAGGGCTGGGCGTGCTGACTGCACTACTTGTCTCTGACTGGCTACTGCTGCTACTTGTCTGCGTTGAATAAGAAACAGTTTGACTTCGTACCACTGAAGAATTCATATGGTTGCCATTGAGTGCAGTTATCTCAATACAGTTCAAGCGTTTCAATTTTTCCTCATCAATGCCTTCCTGGAGTACAGGTCCACTGATGACCAGGTTATTTTTCGAAGGAAGTTTCTTTTTGCTGTGAGAACTTTTGATGCGCAGGCTCTCCATCCTCTTTAAGAAGCTCTTGGCTTTAGATTTTGTGTTCCTTTCAGTTTTTGCACTGAAAGTAAAACTGGAGATGTCCTTTGGCGAAGGGAGGGTACTAGGTGTTTCAACACTGTTAATCGAGGTCCCTGAGGAAATGACACTGATCTCAGAATTTGTCCTTGTGGTGTCTATGTTCTTTCGTATGTTTATGCCATTGCTCTCTGCGCTGCTGGCACTGTGAACTGATGCCACTTCTTGCCGTTCACTCAGATCAGTTAGTACACTCTCATGACTCATTGCATTTTTCAGCAAAGCTTCATCAACAGAGATACCATTTGTAACCTCTGCTGGTGGAAAAACATCAAGTTCCTCCACCCGTGACCATCGTTTACTGTCCCGCTGGAAGGTCCATCGCCCACTGATAGCACAAGGCTCATCTTCATCTGAATCTTCGCTCTGAAAGGAATTGGGAGTGGTTAAGGAGAGTTGTCAAAACTCACTCACGTGCGTAAATGCTGAGATTGAGTTCAAATCATGGTATTAATATGCAAACTTACTGTTAGACAAAGAAATGAAACCCACTGTATTGAAGCATAACAAATGCTTCTCTTGCTGAAAAAACAGCATGTATCCCTTTCACTTTTCATCACTGAATCTTATTTAGACAGTATCGTGGGGTACACAAAAGGGGATTTTCTTTTGCTTGTTGCTGTATCTCCAGCAGAAACCCTGTTTATTTTACAGTGAAGTTACAGCAGATCTGAGAAAATTCTTGACCCTCGATGCCTACAGAGATAAAGATAACAGCTAGGGATAGTAAGAACTGCTGATGCTGGAGCCAGAGATAACACAGTGTGGAGCTGGAGGAACACAGCAGGCCAGGCAGCATCAGAGGAGCAGGAAACTTGATGTTTCAGGTTGGGACAACAGCTAGTGACTGGTTTTGATGAAGTGGTCCTATATAAAATGTGTCAAATCTTGAGGAAGCAGCTGTGCATTCATACAATTTTACTTTGTCGTTGAATTTCTGTTTGTACCCAGTCTAGTAAATGAAATTGTGTTACTGAGTGTTTTTGCTGCTTGTCATTGTAAAAGGCATGAACAATAAGCATTTTAACACTGTTTTTGACATGAGCTGTAGTACCCCACTATAGAGAGAAAACATTTCTTATTCCCCAGCTGAATGCCAGTAACAAAATAAAGCACTGGATGCAGTTTCACAAAATACCCAAAACCCTTGTAACAGCTACCTCCTTTTATAATTCCCTTAATGATAATTACGACATACCTCAAAGCTTTATCCAATTTTGACTATTACAGCACTTGTCTGAGGACTTCTGTCTCTCCCAACTGTGACTAATGAGATGGCGACACATGGCCATTAAATCTCCAGAGTTACTGCCCCAGGGTCCTCCCCTGTCGCCTGTTACAGATGACACTGCAGAGCTAACCTGGGGAGTTTCAGATCTGACCCATTGCTCTGTAATTTAACACTGTGCCTAATCACCATTCTCAGACATCAAGCACCGACAATTATGAAGTCAAGCTTCTTTAACTTGCATAGTGACTTGCTCGCATTACAGACTTCTAATTTAAAAATATATTTTTTGAGTGGGTGTTAAAATAGTTCAATATTGTCAACTGTCTTTCTAACATTACTGGTTTATTGACCAGACTTTGAGGCTAATGCTGCAGGCTAACTTATGTTTCTGTCATGCACTGCCAAGGCTCATCCACAAAATGGTCACTTCAACAAAGGAGCGTAAGACAAGTTAATACTTAAAGCATTTGTACGACACTTAAATAGAATTGTTCTGTTAAAATAGTGGCTGAAATTATCAGAGAGATTTGTACAGCATCCATGTACTATTTTTGCCCAGAATAATTTATAATTTCATTGTTTCCAAGTTCAAAATGGATGCCTTTTCCAAGAACCATGGTAGTTAATAATCTACATGTAAGTAAACTATTATCTTGTGTAACATTGAGAATTTGAAAAAGGAATTAACGATTATATAACTATTTACTTTTTTGGCAATCCTGTCTATTTCTTGGTTTAATTCTGCCAAAAATGTTATGATTTTGCAATAAAGCCAGGAAATTTTCAAATTCTTAATTGTAGGACTTTGTAAAGCATAAGTTTGCAAGCTTTTCCCCAGTAAAGTTTTAAATGAGTGCCAGAAATTTTTTTTATAAAAGACACATGCTGCAAGGTATTTGAATAATGTCACGTCCAACAAACAGAACTGCAATGAGCTACACATTCTTTTTTTTCGAAACCATCCTTTATTGATGTTTACATTGTGTAACAAGTAATGAAGACCTTAAACTGAGGGGCAGCTTTGATCTCAGAATCTGTATGTACTGAAGCTAGATGGCAGTTGAGATTACACTATGTTATACACTTGTTTTACAAAACTATATTTACAGAAGCAAATACCTGGGTGAACTTTTATCTACCTCAATCTCAAATCACAGTAGCATGCTGATGACTAAATACCATAATCTGACAAGAGAAAGGCAACAGGGCAAGAATTTCCAACCATGGTCCTAGCATGCAAATATACATTCCTATTTGAGGCAGGGCGGCACCAAATGGAATGAGCAAGTAATCTCTTTCCCTTACTCATTTGCAGGTCAACAGGGATCTTTGTTTGTCCTCCTGGCCCACTGAATACCAGCTTCATTAGTATGTAGACAAATTTATAGACTGACTGAATGAATGAACTGATAGATATTTGTCGATTCTGATTTCTGATCTTCCGTTCTCCATGACATTGAGGTGATCCAAAACTCTGCTGCTGCATCCTAATACTCATCATGTCCCATCAACGCATCTCTTTGCTGTTTGTTGAGCTACATTTGATTCCTGATTAAGTAAAGCTGCAATTTAGAAATTTTCACAATTGTATTTAAATCCCTCCATGGCCTTGTCTTCCCTATCTCTAACTCCAGAGTGCTCCTCCAATTCAAATCTTGTTGCATATCTCTAAAGTTAATTGGTCAACTATTGGCAGATGAGCCTGTAAACTATGGAATTCCCTCCCTAAATCTCTCTGCCTCTTCTCACTTTAAGGTGCTCCATAAATCTAATCTCTGACCTTTTTTTTGTCATCTTTCCTGATGTCACTTAATGTGATTTGGTTTCTAAATTTTTATGCTGCATTTTGGTGAAATATCTTGGAATGTTTTGCTACATTCGGAATGAGTCATAGAGTTATACAGCATGCCAACCAAATATCCTAAACTGATCTAGTCCCATTTGCCAGCATTTGGCCCATATCCCGCTAAACCCTTCCCATTCATATACCCGTCCAGATGCCTTTTAAATGTTGTAATTTTTCCAGAATCCACCACTTCTTCTGGCAGTTCATTCCATACACAACCCTCTGTGTGAAAATGTTGCCCGTCAGGACCCTTTTAAATCTTTCCCCTCTCGCCTTAAACCTATGATCTCTAGTTTTGGACTCCCCTGCATGGGAAAAAAGACCTTCACTATTCATCCTATCCATGCCCCTCATGATTTTATAAACCTGTATAAGGTCACCCCTCAGCCTCCGATGCTCCAGGCAAAAAATGCCCCAGCCTACAAAGATATTGTTAAACTTGAAAGGGTTCAGAAAAGATTTACAAGAATATTAGATAACAAGGTGTAGAGCTGGATGAACACAGCAGGCCAAGCAGCATCAGAGGAGCAGGAAAGCTGACGTTTCGGGTCTAGACCCTTCTTCAGAAATGCTGAAAGGGTCTGTTTCCGTGCTGTACTTCTCTATGACTATATTCAGCCTCTGCTTATAGCTCAAACCCTCCAATCCCAGCAACATCTTTGTGCATCTTTTCTATATCAATGCAAGCTGTTGTCATTGCACTGCATCACAGGACAATTAGCCTATTTTGTGAATACCTGATGGTGAGCCACTTCCACTGATAGTTTTTCTTTAACCCATGAAACCAGAGATTAAATTTGAGAGATACAACTGCGGTCTCTCGCCTGGCTGATAAGTATTACAAAGGGAAATGTTGTAATCATCAAAACACAAAACTAAATCCTAATAGTTCAATTCTTTGAACAAAAAGGCTGCAATAACAATCTTTCTGGCTAATACTTTCTATTGGAACTTTGCTTTGGAATTAGTAATGCACTTATTCAGACTGTCCTACATATTCACACCTTCTCTAATTCTATTGTGTTTTTATTAATCATATCTCTCCCTTCCTCTAAGCTCCCCAGTCCCAGGCTTAAGGGAGTGGATTAGTGGTGACTAGCAACCCATTCCCTGACCAATGCTTTTCTTTTTCATGGGATATGGGCATCGCTGGCTGAGCCAGTATTTATTGCCAATCCCTCCAGAAGATGGTGGTGAACTGTGTTCTTGAGCCATCACAATCCGTTTATGAAGACATGTTTGGTATTTGTCCACAGGAACATGATCTTTGATTTTTGGCGCTGTGAGAAGTGCCTGACAATCTCGCACCCAAACAATACAGCTACAATTGAAAATTAGTGAAAATCCATCATGGCATCGAACCATGAAAAGCTTATCTCACCGTCGCTATTAGCACCTTAAATAATGTCTATGGCAACTGCTTTGACTGATATCAATGAAAATCTAAACATACTTGAAAGATGAGGTGTGTTGTTACCAATTCTACAGAAAAAGTCCAAAAGTAAAACTTACTCTTTTTCTCTGTGGGCTGATTTCTAGTTTCATCACAGCACACTTATTCAGAGTGTTCAATCGTCTAAAAGGAAAAAAAAGATTAGATCAATATTGGGGAGCTACATCCTTCCCCCAACACTTCCCAATCACCCTCCCCTGACCCATAATCTCTAAATCATGAATATTTGCCATACATTGCCTGGTGTGGTCCATTTGCATAAAAATGCTTTTGTGAAAGGCTCCAATTAGTATCTATTATACTCAACAGATAATCACAGTGCTGTAGGGAAAGTGCAAAACAAAGGGACAAATGCGCAACCTTGATTAAAGATCACCCTTTACACATTCTCCCAGTAACTTTGCAGAATGCATACACACTTTGTTTTGAAAGAAGTGAAAAACTCAATTTCATCCAGTATTAATACATTAAAATACATAGGAGCACAGAACTTTGAGCTAGTGTTGGTCATTTCACCCTTCCAGCCTGTTATGCCATTTAATAAGGCCATGATTAAGGTTCCAACTCCACTTTCTTGTCTGCTCTCCATAACCCTCGACTCCCTTGTCTATCAAAAATCTATCCAATTTAGCCTTGCATAAATTCAATTGCCCAGCTTCCACTGTTTTCTGGGAAAGACAGTTCAGAATACTAACGACCCTCTGAGAGAAAACATTTCTCCTATCCACCTTAAACAGTGTTCTAGTCCCTAGTCTCCCCCACATGAGGAAACATTTCTCTGGAATCCACTCTCTCAAGTACCCTCAGGACCATGTATGTTTCAATGAGGTTACCTCTCATTTTTCTAAACTCCAGTCACATAGACCGAATATATTCAATGATTCTTTGTAACATCAGCCCCAGACTGAATCTTTCTTGACTTCTCCAAATGTGATTTTACATTTTTTCAAGAGCAAACCATACCCCAAGGCCCTGTACGGCCACAGAAAACGCCTTTAATGTTCCATTGTCTTGCAATAATCATTCGTGTCCCTGCACACCTACTTTTTGTGATTCATGCACAAGGACACCCAGATCACTTAGTAACAAAGAGTCCTACAATCTCTCAAATTAAATAATTCACACCTTTCTTCAATCCCTGTCAAAATGGATAATTTCATATTTTCCCACATTGTGTTCTACCAGCCAATTTTTTTCCCTCACTCACTTAACCAGCCTATATCCCTTTGCAAACTCTCTATCTACTAATCGAGACAGCAAGGATTGCAGATGACGGAAGCTAGAGTTAATAAATGTGGAGCTGGAAAAGCACAGCCAGTCAGACAGCATCCGAGGAGCAGGGAAGTCAACGTTTCGGGCCAAAACCCTTCGTCAGGGTTTCTGCCGAAATGTTGACTCTCTATCTACTCACGTTTACCAAAGTTCCAACTAACCTGTGCGGCTGTTCAGAGGGTCCATGTATGCTGATAAGACACATCCGGTCCCACCATCCCTGTCATTGATATAGAATGTTATCAGTTGAAGTACCAGCATTGATCCCTATGGCATTCCACCAGCTACAACTTGGAAACCTTTACAGAACAGGACGGAACAGAACAGAATCGCTACAGTGTGGAAATAGGCCATTCGGCCCAACGTCCACACCGATCCTCTGAACAGCATCCCACCAAGAACCACCTCCCTACCCTATCCCATAGCTCTACACTTCCCATGGCTAATGCACCTTAACCTATTCATCCCTGGACACCATTGGCAGTTTAACATAGCCAATCCACTTAACTTGCACATCTTTGGCCTCTGGGAGAAAACAGGCAAAGAAACCCATGCAGACATGGGGAGAATGTGCAGCCTCCACACAGACAGTTGCCGAAGGGTGGAATTGAAGCTGGGTCCCTGTTGCTGTGGAAGTAGTGCTAACCACTGAGCCACCGTGCTGCTAATATGTGATGATAATACATTACCCCCTACACCATGCACTCTTACCTTTGACGTGACACCTTATCAAATGCAATTTGAACATACAAATACACCACATCCCAGGTTCCCCTTTATCCACCTTGCTTTTGCCAAATACAAACTCTAATATGCTGGTTAAACATGATTTCCATTTCACAAAGCCATCTTCATTCTGCCTAATGGTGTTAAGAGTTTCTAAGTATTCTTCTGTAACCTGCTTAAGAATAAATTCCAATAATTTCTCATGGCAGGTGCTAGGCTAAGTGGTCTATAGGTTCCTATCTCCATCCTTGCTTGAATGAAGGTGCTACATCTGCTTTCCAATCCATTGGGACCTTTCCAGAAGCTAAGGAATTTTTAAAGTTTATAATCAAAGTATCGATTACCTCTGCAGCCACTTCCTTTCTCATCTATTTGGGATCTGTAAGTCTTTCAGAAAGTCTAACAGTTTCCCCAATGCATTTTCTGTGCTGACGCAAGATAGACACAAAACATTCGTTCGACACCTACATCATTTCCTTGGTTTCCATTATCAATTACTCAGACCAACACTTGCTTTATTCTTCTTCTCTATTTATGTACTATTTGTTATTTAAATACAAACTTTTTCCATTTGCTTTTATATTATTAGCTTTCTCTCAATAGAATACAATTATTTCATGCTTGCAAATCTCCACATGACTTGTCCATAAGATATCAAAGTTATATTCTTTCCAAATTATGAAATAAATATACGTGTTTCTTCTTCCTGTTTTTTAAATTTGGTTTGTTCAACAACTCAACAACTCAAAACTGGGGCACTTTACTCTCTCTTAAATTTCCCCACAAGTTCCTTATTATTTTAAAACTAAGATTGGTGAAATGTCACCTCATATGACCTCCCACCCACGGCCTCCAACCTCATCGTTCCCCAACCCCGCACTGCCCGCTTCTATCTCCTTCCCAAAATCCACAAACCTGAATGCCCTGGTCGACCCATTGTCTCTGCCTGCTCCTGCCCCACCGAACTGATCTCCAACTATCTGGACTCCATTTTCTCCCCCTTGGTCCAAGAACTCCCTACCTATGTCCGTGACACCACCCACGCCCTCCACTTCCTCCAGAACTTCCAATTCCCCGGTCCCCAACACCTCATCTTTACCATGGACGTCCAGTCCCTCTACACCTGCATTCCCCATACAGATGGCCTAAAGGCCCTCCGCTTCTTCCGGTCCCGCAGGCCCGACCAGTCCCCCTCCACTGACACCCTCATCCGCTTAGCCGAACTCGTCCTCACCCTCAACAACTTCTCTTTCAATTCCTCCACTTCCAACAGACAAAGGGGGTGGCCATGGGTACCCGCATGGGCCCAAGCTACGCCTGCCTCTTTGTAGGTTATGTGGAACAATCCCTCTTCCGTACCTATACCGGCCCTAAACCCCACCTCTTCCTCCGTTACATTGATGACTGTATCGGCGCCGCCTTGTGCTCCCACGAGGAGCTCGAACAGTTCATCCACTTCACCAACATCTTCCACCCCAACCTTAAGTTTACCTGGACCATCTCTAATACCTCTCTCCCCTTCCTGGACCTCTCTGTCTCCAT